TTTTAAGTTTAGTCCTATATTTTAACAGGATCTAGACAACAGAAGCAATTGTTCACCAAACGCCATACATCTTCAAGCACTGGCTCATCGATTAATTTATTGGTTGTTTTGGTAATAGAAGATTCTGGGGAATATAGTTTTTGCCCTGTCCGGCCGTCCTTCGGTTTGTTTGCCCATAGCATTTATATAATTGGTTGGAGCCATGACTTTCATATTTTACAAGTGCATTCCTGTGAAAGAGATTTCTTTGGGTACCAACATATTTAACTTCTTGACAATACCTTAGAGTTTAACCTACTTTTGCAAAACCAATTCTTTGGGCATTAACCTAACTCACCTTTTGACTTGACCTTAGGGTTTGACCAATTTATAAAAACTTTAACCTTCGTCATAACTGTGAAACAGAACTAAAGATTTCATATTTCATTCTTGTATTTCTTGTGCATGACAAGATCAAACTTCTTGTGAATACCTACAAATCATGACCTTTTGACCTTGCCGTTTGACCTACTTTTATTAAACTTTAATCTTGGTCAACACTTTTGAATGGTTGGTGCTAAGGTGTTTATATTTCACACACATAGTCATTAAAAAGTTTTCTCTTTGGGTGGCAACATTTTTTTATCCATTAGTCTTGACCTTGAATTTTGACTTGCATTTGAGAAATGTTTCACCTTTTCTAGGAATTACCATACGTGAGTATACTGTCTTCCCACAATTTTTTTTTATCAAAATAGAAAATTTGGTGTTATGAATATTTCCTAAATTGTTTAACCCTCTGTACAGTCACCAGGATATTTTATAATATTTTGAATTGTATTTGTAACTGGTGACTGTTTGTTTATAAAAATTATTAATACTCACTTCACACTTTCATCGACGATTTCAAATAATAAACATCAGTAATAAAAAGTATATTATTTTTTTATTCTTTGGATTTTTACAGCCACCGTAGAGGGCAATCCGAGTCAGGAAGTTGGCCCACGTGTACAGCAGTCCAGATAAGGAATAAATTTAATCATCACCCCGAGCGAGTATTCCCCTACGATCAAATAAGTTCACGTACACCCCAAAAAGTAACGTGACAATACCTTTAACAAACATATATTGTTAAGCATTAAAGATGAAAATGGAAACAATACCTCTAATTTAGTCATCAATTAAATACAAACCTTCACGATAACAATTTTCAATTCTAAATTTTTATGCTTAAATGCTGTTTTTGACTGTGATGTAACTTTCAAGCATGCTTCTGCAAATGCGCATTGACTCTTTCAATTGTCTTTAATTCTTCCAAATGAGTCTTGGAAGTTGAACAGGAAAGCCACAATATAATATTGTTTTATTAAAATACAACCCATTCATTGCTATGTATATACAGAACATTTGTGCAAAGAACTAGAAATTATTTGGGAAGCTTTTATGAAATTAACAGCTGTCTTATTTTTACATCATTTTTTATGTATATCCTGTGATCATTATTTTATCCTCGCTAGACATGATTTTTTACTAAAAGTTTTGGACACCTGCAGTAAAATAATGAAGACATGGTTATACAAAACCTTAGATATTAAAATAAAAATCTTGCAAGAGTGCTGCACTAATCGTGCGGTAGAAATTAAATTACTTTGGTCTTGGGTTGAGGCGCAAAGCTCACCAAAGGTAATGCAAAGCATATTTATTTCAAGACAAATAGTTTTTTGATAAATTAAACGTGATCAAACCGAATGGAATTAAACATAATGAAATTCAAGATGACTCGTTACCAATTCTCAATGGAACATTTCAGAAGCAAAAGCATTAATGGACTTAAAGTTATTTCATTTGTACCGCTATTGGTGAGTGTTTTACATTTCCTGGGAGGATCTGTTCTTCACAATCGAGGACAATCACAATTATAGAAAAACATCCCGGCCGCCATTATCTGTTGTGATCGCGGTGATGTGCAGGGGTTTCCGATATTTCACTGTTTCCGGTCTCGGGGACTTACTTAACACAAGACAATGGCTGCCGTGACATTCAATCAAACCCGTCGTCTGAATTTGTCTCTTGTGGCTCTTTTTGACGACAAAAACCTTTCTTGTTTTTAGTGTTCGATCAGGGACGTACTGTGTTTTAAGTTATTCAGAAAAAGGAATGAAAATACGAGATTTTTTGTTACATGTTTGAAAAATGTATCTTAAAAACCATGGTCGTAATTACATCTGTAAGGAAATTAATAATTGTCGCAGGATCATAGTTATGATACCCAACACTGTATAGAACATTCGATATACACAAATCATGAACAACAATTTTTTAATCGGAAAAATAAAAGATCTGCAAATGCTCAAAGGCTTCTAGGGATATAGCATGGAAACAAACGTTTTAAAACATAAATGATTTATAAGCTAATGACCTTGACCTGTGGCTTTTTCACATTTTCATTTCCACGCGATATCTCGAGAAGTCTTTTAACTTAAGCAATGAAATTTTATACAACTCCCTACGGCCCAAAGAAGACCCCGATTGTTTTTTTAATATCAAAGGGTCAAAGATTAAGGTCATAAATTCAAACTAAACTCAATTAAAATTTTACCTCTTTCGTTTCAGCGCGATATCTGGAGAAGTCTTTGAACTTTTATTTTTGCAATGAGATTTTATACCACAAATCACTATGGCCTAAATAAAATATCTATTTATGTTGATGTCAAAGGTTAAAAGGTCAAGGTGTTGAATTCAATTTAACCCATACATTCTGTATGTAAAACTTTCTTTTTTAGACTATATATCAAAAAGCTTTTGTCAATGAGCAATTAAATATTATGCCATAACTCACTATGCTCCCTCCTGCCCTTCTTAAAATGCCCCCTTCGTCCCCCTTCCTAGATGCGGACATGCTCTTCTTTTTTCCCGTAAGTGTGTGTGTGTGTGTGGGGGGGCAGATTCTCTGAATTAGCTTGTTCTAGTAAAATCGTGATACTATATACATGAACAATTATATTTATTTAAATGAAAGAACTTAATTATTTGAAAATTTTCAGATGGGGTTCTTTTACAATATTGTTAAAAATGAAGAACAGGATACCTGTAGAAGCTTGTTACTTTTGCCGGTTTTGAGGAGAAAAATCTTTTGTAATGAAATATATGGAGACAATTTAACGAACAGAATTCAAGCTGAAAAGTCCAGTACACAATACAAAATAGGAGCAGAGTAAACACGAACCTCGAAAGCATCAGAAGTAGGATCATGTGCCATGGAGGAGTGAACATCCTCTGCCGACAGGCCACACCCAAAGCGAGCAACTCGTCATTGTTGGGAAATAACGGGAAAATCCGTCAATTCATGGTGTAAATAATGGCCTATCAATTAGTATGAAAAACGTCAGTCAGCATTTGACTCAATAATAAATTGTATTTGCTGACAAGGTTATTGTATCGACTATAGAACTAACGAAATGATGAATTTAGATGAGACTGCTGATACTCTTGTTTCAGCAACTTGTTTGTCAATAGTGTACCTCGTTTTAGAAATTGTTCATACGTAGAGTATATTTCAACTTTGTTAATATCTATGAGAAATGCGGACTTTAAATTTTGATATGGTGGAACACAAGACTGGACATTGCTATGATTAAGAATATTACTTATGTTTACAGCATTTATTCCTTTGTTTACAAATTTAACTCAGCTTAAGGAACCGACAGGTCGAATCAGAATAATCTCCCAACAATGTGGTGGCTTAATAAGAGCCTGTTCTGCATGGGCATCAATGATAATCACAAAAACTAGCATGCATTCTGCAGTGGAATAATCTATGTATGGTCTTGCTTAAGCTTTCTTCAAATAGTGTGTTTAAAAAATTTTAAGGATGAAGGACACCAAATAAAGAAGATGGGCGCATTTGGCGTGTGATCTGCAGGAATCATTTGTACGAAACATTTATGGTTTAAATGTCCATGATTTGGTTGGCTGAACATAGCTGGTCACATTTTATAAACACTTCCATAGGTTTTTTTTTCATTTAGTTTGAAAGACCTTGTGAAATTGTAACATTTATGCCCGTTTTTCCTAGGGGGTACTATATCATAGTCATGTTCCACAAAGAATAAACACCTAAAATATTTAATGCATAGATGCATGATACGTGTACATGTACATTATAGAATAAAAGATTAGAATTGATTTCACTCGAGAACCAAACTGAACCAAAATTCACCTAATTCAAAATTTTGATACATCAGTACATAAAACGAAACTGACAAAATAAATGGTTGTTTGCATGAAAAAAAATTAACGCCCGAAGCCAGACTCGAAACAAAAGCTTTTCACTTCGAGTGCACTGATCAGGTAGCTCTACTTACTGAGCCATCACCGCTACACATATACAGAGGATTTTAAAAGGACAAAGAAGTACCACATTCACGCATTTGGATTTTTTGGAGAAAAGTTCATTTTTCGTGGTCTCTGGGTCTTCTCTCCATTTTTTAAAAAATTGTATTCGTTTCTTTGAATCAAAATACACACAAATAACGTTTCAAAATCATGGAGAGAAGACCCAGAGATAGAAAAATTTTAGAAAAATGTGTTTAAAAATGTACCATTTTGTACCAAATGTCTGATCTTGCCAATTGTCAAGTTATTTTTTTAGCAAATCAAAGCTCAATTTCGGGAAAATATTTTCCTTTCCTGTTGCGCAGGAACCCGATAAATAAAAAAAAATGTTAAAATTCCATGTGACATGTCGATAAAATTTTCACTTTTCAATTACGCCCAGATTCCTGCCGAATGCCAATCAAAAGCGCCCTCGTTCTTTTAGTACTTGCGAATGTGATGAAAATCTTATTGTTAATTCAATGATAATATTTTCTGCAGATAAGACGCTACATATCTTACGAATTTTACATGACATAAGCTGGTAATGTAAATATTTCAAGCTTGCCAGAAGAGTTCGAAAGGTATTGTTCCTGCAAGTCGAATTTTTGATGAACCACTTGTCCAATCCTACTTTCGTTTTTTTCGTCCTTCCGAATTATCTCCGAATTAAGGTAAGTTACCAATGTGTCAAGTGCTATGTTCAGTAACAGGGGTTTTCCTACCATTTTTCAACAGGGTCCGGGGTCCGTAGAATTGGGAAAATTGACGCGAAATGCGTTCAAATTGGGAAAATATTAAGAAGGACCAATTTTGTTATTTTCCTATATAAATGAAAATGATGGGACCAAAAGTGTCTTGTTTTACAACAGAGTGAACAATTGTAGACAGATATAAAGAGCTGCACATTATTCAGCTGTTATTGGATAATAAGAAAAAAATGCAGAAAATAGTTTTATTGCTATATACACGTGTATTCATGTAAAAAAAAATGTTTAAACGGGTATTATAATTTTAATTGGAAAATGAAAAATTTAAGAAAATATAATATTTTTAAGTTTTATTGATCATGGGTGAAATAAGGAAAAAAAATTAAGAATTTTTTTTAGTTTTTATATAAATTATTCCATTCACAACTGAGAATAATATAATTTTTTTCTTGTTGAATAATAAAAAAAAAATGCAGGAAAACATTGTTTTGTTGTACTTTGCATTCATGATTGGAGTAAAAAATAACTTTAAAAATACTTTGAAATAATCTTTATGAAGTTAATTGTTATCTATATTGATTTTAGTGTGTAGTAACACTAATTATACCAAAGAAATAAAAACATAATATGTTTGAATAGGCTTATATTAATGAGAAGGAGGATAGAAAAGTAGGATGACAGATTTTGTGCGTTTAGGCAAATTAGTCAAACCCTTCCTATTTTTAGATAATGCAAGGAAGTCCACAGTAACTTTGGAATAAGCTCAATACAACTTTCATGATAACTATGTACAATCTTTAAATGATCAGTAGGATTTATGTGACTTAAATGAAATATGTGATTTAATAACTAGTCATTTAACATCGTAGGTGATTTACCAAATGTGTTGCATCACTTATATTTATAGCTCGATGATCCGATTATACACCTTTTGAGATTTTCAGATGTCTTGCAGGGAAACAAATATTTTACTTCTTTCTGAACTCTCTTAAATTTTTTTAAGGATACAAAATTGGGAAAAAAAAGATTCAGAATTGGGAAAATATGGCTGAATTTTTGATTGGGAATGGGTCCGGTAAAAGGACCCAAAAATAAGCCAGGAAAACCCCTGAGTAAAAGCTGTCAAAAACGATTTATAGGCACAGGAAAGATAACTCATTTAATGATTACAAAGCTCTTGTTATAAAACTAAACTACAATATGAATGTACAAACGACTGAAAGATATTTTTAAAAGTCCTTTGCTCTATCAGATGCACGGTTTTTTTTAACCATGTTAACACTGATGAAAGTTACTCAACTCTTTCACTTTTACAGTCATAAATGAACTTGTAGTCAAAGATATACCGATACTGAGAATAATATACCCGAAAGATGACCCTGATATAACTCATGCTTATTTTAAGATAAACTTACTTCATAAACATTGAGTATCACCAAACCAAATGTCAGTGGTCGTTTATATGTACTATTAAACTCCATGTCAGTGCACACATAAAAAATTATATGCATGGTTTTTAAGGACGCACAATCGGACCTGAAAAGTCTAGGCAATACCACATTGTTTGTAACCTCACTCTACATAATATTTTTTAATATTTCTTCTACAGATAACAGAGCCTTTAAATAAATGCATCATGCTTTTTCGGAGATTACATGTGCCACAATCCACACTTTTTTGTCGACTACAGCATTCATTTGTCAACAAAGAAACCCCAAAAGTTGTTCAAAATCGTCTCAGTAAACATCTTGTTTTGCGCACAGTTCAGTCATCTGAAAGGAAGTCACGTGATCTTGTCTTGTTCTTCGAATGGTTATATCCCAACTCCAAAGCTGTGGACAAATATTGCATGTTATACCATGAACTAGGGTTAAATGTCTTGACCATTCATGGACAATTGAAACATTTTCTATGGCCGTCACAGTCAGCTAAATTATCCCAGGAACTTTTAACTTTCTTGAAACACAAGAGAAATCCTGAAGAAGATAAATATATTATTCATGCCTTTTCTGTTGGTGCTTACAATTTTACCACGTGTTCAATGCAAGCTACTAGTAATCGAAAAGATTTTGGATTTTTTCGGGATAACATCCGTGCTCAGATTTTTGACAGTATAGTAGCCGGAAGTTATGACCATATGTCTACCGGAATAGGCGAGGCATTCTCTCTCCCTCGTCCCCTAAGAAAACCTTTACAGATGACGATGGACTCTTTCTATAAACTAACAAAGAAACACACAACGGACATTTACGATGATATGGTTGACCACTTTTGGCATTGTCCGGTGACAGTTCCGACTTTGTTGATATATTCTGAAAACGACCCTATGTGTGATCCTTCCTATCTGGAGAAGATGATGTCAAAATGGAAGAAAGACTTTTCTGACTTTGACGTGACGTCAGTCTCATGGAAGAAATCGGTCCATGCTGCTCACTTAAAGATGCACCCAGAGGATTATATGAGGCATTGGAGAATTCTAATGAGTAAAGTGGGCCATGGACTTCCAGGAGAAATGGGAACCTCATGATCAACATATTTCAATCACAGATACATGAATTTTAGTAGGTAATTGTTAAGTTTAGGCTTAGATTTCAAATACATCATTTATATCTAGAGTAACATCATCGATAATACATGTACATGTTTATTACAAATACATATTTATGTTACAATTTGTTCAAATTTTTTATAATTTTTTTTGTTGTTCGTTACATTGATCATTATGACAGAAGAAATAAATTATATGCAGTTGACAGTTCATTGTGAAATGCTCATTTTAATCAAACAGTTGTCGGTTCAGAGCGTATCTGCATCATAGAATCAATGGCTTTGAACAAAAATTATCACCTGTCGTAATTGATTACTGGAAATTGTTTAGCTAGACATTGTTATACTCTACACTCTTGAGATATATCGTTTTTTGAAGGGAATAAAAGATTTAATAATTAATGCATGTATGTTTATGCTAAGATTGTTTTCAAATGCTTTTCTTTTTTTTTTGCATTTGACCATGAATGTGTTCTGTATTATAAATTAGAAATTATGCCTTATGACAAGGAAAAACTTAACTTATTTGGTACTGCGATGTAACATACAAAAAAGCAGTGTTAAATGTTCTATCCAATCTATTCATTTTGATTGAATTGGCAACCATTTTAAAAGATGTTTATTTCTGAAAAACTTTTATTCTTAAACAACTAGAATATGAAACATATCAACGTCTTCACGATGATTTATTACATGTCAACAATTATAGTAAAATAATTTTCATGAAAAAGTTATGAAAATGAATTAAATGCCTCAAGATACATAAAAGAATTTTGATGTCGACAAACATTGAAGCATTATGCATACAAAAGATAAGTTTAGAAATGTTTTACGGCATAAAAATGTGAACATTTGTACTAATCTTTAGCTTCTTACTCAACAACAAAAATGTAAAATTTTCACCCCTGAAACACACTTCAAATTGTCCATCAAATTAATAATTACATTGTAATTTTATCTACAAGCGACTGAGTTTTAATTAATTGAAAATTTTAAAGCTTTTGTTAAATAGCTTGAAACTAGAACTGTTTTTCTTGCTTCCGGGTTTATCGTCCTTCCGGTCCGCGGGGGACCTGGGGGATTTAGGACGACCCCCTCTTTGGGCACACTGAAACTTTTCTTCTGTGATGAAGAGAGGCTGAAAGTGAATATGCTTCTCGCCTCGTTCTCGCTGAATCTCATGAACGAGACCATGGAATATGTCCTCCACATATTCAAATTCCTCCGCTGCTGTTGTCTCAAAAAACAAACACTCATACTCTGCTGCTAAACTAGCGCCCTCTTCTTTACTTATTTGTCTGAAAGATATATAAAATCAAATGATATTTTGAAGAAAAAAATAATAATTCAATGACGATGAAAAAATCGTTCTTTTATTTAGTCATTTCCGGAGTACTTTTTACTTTATCATGTTGTATTAATCATCTTTTTTAAGAAAGCTCTAAACACTACACACTGAAGAGTTCTACTTCTAGGGTAGTTTTGTGCAGGTAAAGTGATCTGCCCTCAGATGTAAGATTTAAAAAAAATGCATTCTTTTATATGAAATATTTTTCACCGAGTCCAAAAGTATGTTTTGTAAATGTTTAGAGCTTCCTTAAGGTAAAAAATTATCTTTTAAAAAACTTTTCATACTTTCAATAATTATAAAACAATATTCATGAAAGCATAAATAGTTTCTCTACCTGTATCTCTCTAAATCGATCTTATTTCCAACGATGGCAACCGGAAGTTCTTTATTAGCTGTCTTAAGGAATTGTGTGATCGTTTCTAAGTATTTCCGGACTGTCTGGAAACTTTCTCTGTTTGTGATACTATATACTACCATGAAAGCGTCGGCCCAACGTAGATATCTTTGGGGGTCGCTATCCTCCTAAAGGAGAATATAAGATATGCTGACAGGTATTCAACGTCATAGTACAAAAGGAAACAGACAAATTAGGAAATGAAAGAGCTACAGGAAACAGTTTTTTAAAAATATAAAACCCGCTTCAAAGGCAAGTGATGGGGGTGTTAATCCGTCTTTCTGTCCGTCCATCCGTTACGCTTTGATGTACCCATCTCTTATCCGCAATCCCTCTTATACCAATGGATGAAATTAATGAGACTTTCATAGAATCTTTGTTATAAAGTGCTGTTGTGCACCTCCTCTTTTACTTTTTGATCAGGCACATTTTTCGGGTTTCCCACAGTCCAAACATGGATACTGACATTCTATCTATAAACTATCTCTTATCCGCAACCCTTCTTATACCAACGAATGCAATTAAATGAGACTTTCACAGAATCTTTGTAACATAGTGCCAATGTGACCTCCTATTTTACTTTTTGATCTATCACATTTTTCGTGTTTCTCATAACAAAACATGGGCACTGCCATTCTCTCTATAATATTGATGGGTACTCATCTCTAATTCGCAACTCCTCCTAAACCACTAAAACTTAGAGGTACTGGGAGAGCACTGAGCTCACTAAATGATACCCCCGTCTCCCATATTCATATGATTAGAATGGCAAAGTCCATGTTTTGCTCTGGGAGACGCGAAAAAAGTGTCAGATCAGAAAGTTAAATAAGGGATGCACATTGGCATTTTGTAATCAAGAATTTGTGAAAGTATCATTAAATTTTATTTAGTGGTAAAAGAGAAGTTGTGAATAAGAGATGGGTACCACTCAATATTATAGAAAGAATAGCTATATCAATGTGTTGCGTTGGGAAACCCGAAATATGTGTCCGATCAAAAAGTAAAATAGGAGGTTCACTTGTTGCAAACACTATTGAAATAACGACTACTATTGAAATAATTAATCAATAAGGGTTGAAAGTACATTTCAAAATTCAAAACAGGTTGCAACCACTATTGAAATAATGTTAACTATTGAGACAATTATTTCAATAGAGGTTTGAATGCACTACAAAACCCAACATAGGTTGCAACTACTATTGAAATCATGTTCACAATTGAAATAAAGATTTCAATAGTTGCTGACAATGATTTCAATACCAAAACAACATTGCAAGCCATATCGAAATAACCCCACTATTGAAAAAAAAATCATTAATTTTTCCAACTTACATTTAATCAGGAATTAATTTATTGAGTTTAAAATATGTTATGTAATTTTATGTTTTAATTTTTGTCTTGAAATACTATTAATACACGGATATTTGTGATTTAACTGATCTAGTACTTTTAAGTTATTTTTTATACTAGTATAAGGTTCATCTTTGCTGGTTTTTTTTTAGGGAAAATAAAAAGATTCTACATACAGAAAATTGAAGAAATGAGGATACATACTGTCCTCTACAAAAATTTGAATTTTTCAATTAAGATTTGTATATGACAAATTGACAATTACAAATTTTAATTGAATTCAAATTATTGTAGAGGACAATACATTAAAAAAGAAGAATGAAGACATCTATGTTAATTAACAAAAATTAATTGTTATGTTGGAAAACGTATTTACAATTAATGATATTATTTTTTCAGTTGCGGGGTTATTTCAATAAAGCTTGGAATATTGTTTTGGTAATGAAATCATTGTCAGCAACTGTCAAAATAATCATTTCAATCCCTATTGAAATCTTTATTTAACTCACTATCAGAATCATTATTTCAAGCACTATTAGTAGAAGATCATTATCTCAAGCACTATTATTGAAATCATTGTTTCAATAGCGAACGTTATACCGGGTATTTCAATGGTGGTTGCAACCTGTGTTGAATTTCGAAATGTACTCTCACTCACTTTTGAAATAATTATTTCAATAGTGAACATTATTTAAAAAGTGCATGGTTACAACCTGTGTTTGGTTTTTAAATGCTCTATCAACCACTAATGAAATAGAGTGGCGGTGGTCAACGTTTTTCAAGCCCAACTTCCTTTCACTTCACAATTTTTTGCTTACAATACTACATTTTCTTGATATCACTATACTGTTGGTAAGAAGTGGGGGGGGGGGGGGCAACCAATCTTTCAATGGACATTTTCAATAGTAAAGGTAATGTTGGGAAAAAAGGGGGGCAGGCCCCCCTGGCCCCCCTGTTGCTACGTCCCTGTAAGAGGAGTTGAGGATAAGAGAAGGGTACCCCAAATCGTAACGGACAGACTAAACAGACAGACGGACGGGCGTACAGACGGACGGATATCCCGATCACTATATACCCTCCTGCTTTTCAAGCCGGGGTATCATAAATTTCAAATTTTTTATTACATAGTGCCATTGTGACCGCCTTTTTTACTTTTTGATTGGACACTTATTTCTAGTCGAAAAACATGGACTTTGCCATTATAATCATATGGGAGGCGGGTGTATCATCTTATGAGCTAACGATACTTCTTTTTTTTCACGGAATAAATGAATTTAATGTGTTGGAGATATTCATACAGTTACCTTATCGCACGTGTCCATCACGTGTATTGTGAGTTCCTGTCCCTCGATGTCTTCTAATTTTGTATATGTGTCCTCTGTGATGAAAATGATATTTTAAAAAAAAATTCATCATTTATTCAGAGAAAAAAACCCCCAAATTATTCTTTTAAAAAAATTAAATTAAATAAATAAAGAGCAAAGAGTCAGTTATTTAAAATATCGTAAAAGATTTTGTAAAAATATAGCAAACTACATGTATTTATTAAAAAGACCAAAGAATTAAATTCTGAATTGGACTAAATTAACCTACCTATACATGGATCGTACTCCATGATAAATCTTCTTGTCATATATTTGACTGTCAGGGCTACAAATACAAAATTACCAAATGAATAAGACATTAACTGTACACTACATAATCTTGATTAATTGAATGTATGTATACATAACTTAACAGAATACATTTTGAATAAAAAATAGCAAAAAAAAAAAATGAGATCGAGATACCCAGTACCATAACCGACATCAAAGGCTAAGAGTTCATTTCGTGAGAAAGAAATCAAGATTTGCACTGGATGCAGCTGCATACAAAAATTTAAAAAATAAAATACCGATAATATCAGATTTAAAAAATCTATAACAACGGGATAAGTGCCACAGAAGTCTTGCAGATAAAAGTTTTTACTTTAGATGCACACAATGTATAGATGAAGATAAATTTTTACAGATAACTCTGACATTTATTAACTTGGTTGTTCTTCCTGTCAAGAAAATCTAATCACCTGATGTTGTGTTAATGAAAATATAAAAACACAACATCTAAAAATATGCAAACTGCTTGAAAGCAATGTCTTAGTTCAAAAGATCGTATCGTAATATAATATTATGCAATACAACTTAAATATAAAAACCAAGTATGTATGAACGTGTTTCACAACAGATTCCGTTTGAGGAGAGACCTTCTATTAGTCAATTTTTACGGAAAGATAAAGCGTTTCAAGAAAAATACATATCGCTTTGAACACTTTGGTAAGAGAAATGCAAAGATTAGTTGTAAAGAAAAGTTTAAATATATACGTGGGCCGAACCCTACATGTACCCTGGGAGGCAAGGAAGGGGAGGGGCCCTAACAAAAAATACTTTAGTTAACTATAGTGATAACTTTGACACTATGAAAACTTTGATTTACTTAAGTGATAACTTTGACACTTTGATTTACTATAGTTATAACCTTGACACTTTGATTTGCTAAAGTGATCACTATGAAAACTGACTTTGATTTACTATAGTGATCACTTTGAAAACTTTGATTTACTAAAATGATCACTTTGACACTACAGTGAACACTTTGAAAACTTTGATTTACTATTGTGATCACTTTGTCCCCTTGATTTACTTTAGTTAACTACAGTCAACTATTTTTTTGTTAGGGGCGTCATGATTTGAACATAGTTGAATCAACTTGAATGTGAACTACGTGTACCTGAGAATGTTTCCATATTTATATCAAGTAATCATGGTCTGAAAATTGTATTTTAATAGATGTCTTTGTTATACTGTCTAGTAGATATATCTAATATGTAAAATGTTATTAAAATCTTTTATTATGGACCTGCCGTACTCCCGTTGGTCATGATTTGAACAAGCTTAAATCTACACTAAAAAAGGCTAATCGTGACTTCATTAGCTGTTCTATACTGATATCTTAAAGGGCACCTTTAGTCAAATATTTTCTTTTTACTAATCATTAAAAGTAATTTATCTATGGACACATGAAAAATCTGCACCTCTTTATCTGCAGCGGTTTAGCCGATAAAACAATTAAAATTTGACATTTTCTGCCTGCTCACGGAAACACACGAGCGTGAAAGCTGCAAAAGTTCTCTTATCAGTTGTGGAATGTGAAACGTCACGAATGTGACCGCGAGAGCCTTTTACTTTACAATTAGCATCATGGCTTCACAAACAGATGAAATTGAAATATTAGAAGAAAATGACATTTGGTTTGATTTGGATGTTGAGGAGGAATTAGACAATAAAGAAGATCTTAGTGAAGATTCTTCTGACCATGAAGAGACAGATTCTGATACTATTGGGACAGAAAATGCTGGCTTTGGTATTCTCCCATACCAATATGAGCCTTATGCAACTTCTGATGAAGATGCATCTGACAATTCAGAAGCTGATGAGGAAGACAGAACACATAACACAGACTGGTGAAGAATAGTTTAATTTTCTTTTAATTCAATTATACATATCAAAGTTGCAATTGTTTCATTAAGGTCAAAAATATTTTGACAAAGAAAATTTCAAACAAATATTTTTTTATACAATTTTTTTCTTTTCTAATTCCCAAGTAGGTGTTCATGTCAATGCTGCACAATCATGGCATCAAATACCGAAAACAGGTGCTGTCAAGAGATACAACAAGTAAAGGAAGAGATTTAAAGAACCGACACATCACTTAATTGCATAACACATCATCCTGGGTTTAGAACAGTTTGTCTTGATATTCATGTACTGAGAACTGCATACTATCAATATCGACAACAATATGGAGGGAACTTGGAAGAATCAACAAAGTAAGTCAATTCTATTACCCATTTCTTTTCAGATTCATAATTAGTTAAATTATTACTAATACAAAATGGCATCTCATTTTGATATATTTACATGTATTTATTGAATTTCAGACGACATAGATACACAGCTTACAGGCAGTTTGTACGTTGGTGTTGGGGCTATTTAGGCAAGAAGGTCAGAGTAGTCATACCATCTTGTGCAGTCTCAAAAATCAGAGAAACATTCCCGCTTCAACCTGGAGAAACTCACACAGGGTTTAATTTTGCTGATTGAATCTACTAGATTTTTCCAATACTGCTGCTTCTTTCACGGGATGAGAATACTCATGGCACAATGGCGGAGGAGGAACTACAGTCATCTTGGCACATATCTCACTATTCATTTTTACCTTTTCACTAATTTTAAAGGTTGTGTCCATTATTGTTTCTGCATATTCTATAAAAGAAAAATGGAGATGAAAATATTAATAATGTGATAATTTGTTTTATACAATTCTTACATGGCATCAATATTATGTAATTAAAGTTGTCTTACCGTAAGTACTTTGTGATTTTACTTCTCTCACAGTATATCCACCTTTCTTAAATTTAGGAAAGGTTATTTTGTACCTAGCTTTTCCCTCCTGTGTTTCGTCTTGGGGTTTTCTGCCATTTTCATTAAAATGCAAGGCAGAGAGGATTAGTCTGGAACAAATATAATGTAGTAAAGCATTTTATTGCTATATATATAATAAACAACATCTTCTTCTGATTTTCTAGCTTCAGCTTCTTGCATAGATTTATTCTGAACTTCTGTTTTCTCTGTAATGATCTACAATAAGATACATGTATCATCTTCAAATATTTTGTTATGAATTACCAGTATAAACATTTTCCAGACCTTCTAAAAATATTTACTAATAACATCTTTGTTTAAGGTGTAAAATGTAAAATCTACTTACTCTAAAATTTTCTCGTTTTACAAATGCCCCTCTTATCCGTTTCCTTTCTTTTTTCTCTCTCTCATTGGATTTCTCCTCACCCTCCTCAATAGAGCTCAAATCACGTTTTCCTAAAACACTAGGGTGATGTTTTGTTGGTACTGACCCAGGATTTAGATCTTTGTTCTTCACTGGAATTCCTTGTGATTTTTTGAATCGATACTCAAATGGATAACAAGAGTCATCGAAATGTAATTCACAAAGGCTGGAATATTTTTTTGAGGGCCCTCAGGCCATTTTCTCTTAAGTCTAACAAAGGCAGTCCACTTTGGTACAAGATGTGGTTCCTTTTTTCAAATGGAAAATAGTGCAGGGACACTCCATCTAAATGTGTACTTAACATCCACCCGCTACACATCTTCTACCCCTTTTTGTTTCACTGTGAGTATCACAGGACATGTTTATTTACATGCCATGTAGTGTAACAACATTGAAGCTGTCTCTGCATCTGTTCACATTCATTTCGTCATGCAGCCGATAACAGCGGAAACTGCCGAGCTATATTACTTTCACTGAGCATTTGACATTTTAATTAATTTCAGCTAAACCACACATCTTACAAACGTGATTTTTTCAGGACTGGATTTTAAATAACCGAATATATATTTTAATTGAACAATAATTTTTGACTAAAGGTGCCCTTTAAATTTTATAGTGACAGAATACGAGTTTTCTAAGATATATGCCTATAGATGTTGATCAGTGGATGAAATAGAGAATCTTTTTACGCATTAACTATAATTCAAGTAGATGTAGAAAGATTAGATTGATAATATTTATCTAAACCTTTATCTTAATTTTCATGCATTTCACTAAGATGCTATGAAGTAATTTGAAATGAAATATTATAAAATTTGCTCTCCATGGTTCTTGAAAACATAGGTAATCAGAGATTACAGAGCTCACCTCAACGAATGTTGTCTTTAAGTAAGGCAAAGTCACACAATTAACCAACAAAAAGTATACATTCCAAAAATGAAAAATTTAAGCAATTTTGATCTGATACTTTGAAATAGACCTACATAAAAAATTTAAACTAGTTCTTCTTCATGAAAATATAATGAAAATCCAGCAACTGAAGCAAATTTGAGAGTTTTCATCTCTTGATGCAGCATTTGTGCAAGTTTGGTTTATACAATGTTATATAAGCCTTATAGTTTTTGGAAATAGACCTGCAACCATAACTTTTACCTTGTCTATTATCTGAAAAATGTATGTCGAATTCAGCATCCGAAGCAAGTCCATTAGTGTGCATCCTTAGATGTATCATCCATGCAAGTTTGCTCATTATAGGGCTCATAATTTATTGGAAATAAAACATGCATCAAAAACTAACATTTTCACTCATCCACAAAGAGTAGGTTAGATTCAGCATCCGAAGCAAGCCTGGAAATATGCATCCTTAGATGTATCATCCATGCAAGATTGGTCATTAAAGAACTCATAGTTCCTGGAAATGAAACCTGCACCAAAAACTTTTACCTGTTCACTCAACCGGAAAATGCAGGTCAGATTCGGCATCCGAAGCAAGCCTGGTAGTGTGCATCCTTAGATGTATCATCCATGCAAGTTTGGTCAACATAGGGCTTACAGTTACATGCAAATGAAACCTGCACCAAAAACATTAACCTGTTAGCTCAACTGGAAAATGTAGGTCAGATTCAGCATCCGTAGCAAGCCCGGTAGTATGCATCCTTAGATGTATCATCCATGCAAGTTTGGTCAATATAGGGCTTATAGTTACTTGGAAATGAAACCTGCACCAAAAACTTTAACTTGTTCACCCAACCGGAAAATGAAGGTCA